ACTGACCATCACTTTTGTTTTGTCTCCATTAGGATTTGAAATATGATAGAGGACCCCATCAAAATCAACAAATGTCACTTCTACTGCTTCCGGTTTGTTTCCAGCAGCCGCATTCTCGAACTTGAGCGCGAGAGTCTCCTCGACGATGCAGCTGTTCACCTCCAGCAGGATCCTGGCGGCGGCTGCCCCCGAAGCCTGAACCCTCCTGCGGAGCCGCCGCCGCCGCCACTGCCGTCTCCTGTTCTTTGATTTTTAATCCATGCTTATTGTGCCCTCATTTTCAGTCAGATATCTGGTATTTGGCATCTATTCAATTGCTTTATGCATATGTACATGACAGCTTGGATAATTATACTTGTGATTTTTGCTAGTCTACTGAAAAGGAACTCGATGCTTAAATTATTTTTCTTTCCTTTTAAATATATAGAATATATACTATATATTCTATATTAACAAATTTGCATGCTAAAGTCTGAAAATCTAATCTGCTAGCTGAAGGCATTATTATGCAAAATAAAAAAGTGAATGGCTTTATTTCGTGTTGTGAATGCTGAATGATCCACCGCATTCCCTGTGGAGGCCCACCTGAGCAGCAATTCTTGAGAGAAGAGCAACTGTCTCCATCTTGACTGAGCCTGACCCTATTTCCTTGTATTGATATGTACAGAGCTGGCCAGGACTGCTGTTTATCCTTCAATTGGCCTTAAGCAATGTCTATTGGTCTAGCTGAGGTGCAGGTGATAGTCTTTGAAGGTGGCGGGCGTGTTTCCTGGTAACCTACACCTGCTTCTCCTTCACGTGAGCCCGGTCGAGACAGGACGGTAGAGCTAATGCTCCACGCAGCCAGCTTTCTAACCTTTCTCTGTGTGTACCATCATATAAGTTCATGACCACATTGATGAATGCTATCTAGGTATCAAATCTAAAAATTCCATGATTTGAACAGCTTATCCACTATCACACCACTAAGGTTCTCACATTCTATCTGCTCAGCTCCATTCTGTAACATGCTTGCCTGTGTATTGTTTGAATTCCTCCTATAAATTTGATCAATGTGCTTAACACATTTCATTCATTTTATAAGTGCGCTCTGCCCCATGCCTCTTGATCCTATTCTTCTCAGGTAAATATTTATATCCAGATTTGCAGCATATTTTATCAGGGCCTTTGCTTATTTTCTGGAAATTACACACACAACCTTGTGTTTGCCAGGCGAGCGCCACATTGCTGAGCTCTACCTCTAGCCAGAAGTTGTTTTTTATGCCTTGTATTTCTCATATAAGATGAGCAAAACATTTTTAAAAAGGAAGAAAATGAAAACACACGAGGATATTGAAGCTTGTTCAATGTTTTAGTGTTTTTATTTGGGGCACTGAAACGATACTGTTTACCACAAAAACCTACTTTACTGCTAGTCTTTATGGAAGAAATTGACAGCGCAGGTGCAGCCGTCTCAATACATGTTTTGACCATAGTAATGTTAGCACCAGTTTGCAATACTAATGCCTGTCTGGAAAATAATCGTGTCTATTTTGAGAACATAATGTAATTGCAGAAGGTAAAAGTAACTTGTATTAATCTCTTTATGTTTCTATTGTTATTATTATTTATCTTAGGAAAAGGTCTATAGGGTGTTCAGGGTGTCCCTACTAGAATGGACTCGTAGTGATCTGCCTGTTTACAACCTCCCACATGCTGGGATTACAGACACGTGCCATTACACCCAGTTTCAGTCTTTGCCTCAGCACACCCCAAGGGATGGTGCCAGCCCTGCAGGCCTGGGAATCGCCTGCTTGCATGTGCTTTAATCTGCTGAGCTATTTGACCAGCCCAATCTCTTTATGTTTCAATAAATAAACAGCGAAATATTTGTTAGAGGGCTTCTTTTTAATATTGAAAATAATTTGGTGAGGTCTGTCTTTACAGGTGTGTCTGATTTATCTTATTTATACAATGATCTCAAAGTGCATCTGATTTTCCCCAAATGTCTACCTCATTTCTCGCTTTAGCAGCATAGCACTTTTTAGGAGTGTCTTTTAAAGAGTGTTTTGAACAAAAGCATCAGTTATGTCTAATTTTAAGAGATAGGCTAGATTGCAAATGATTGCTTACTGCATGTCTTCACAAGCTCTTCTAATTATCCATCTGTGCTATACAGACTCCTTTAAGATCTTTGCCACATTAGAGATCGATCAATGGGGTGAACTACGGTGCAATGTTTTGCTCATTCTTTACTCCTCTGCTGGCCATGACCTCCCCACAATGCTAACAGCATTACAGAGAATGGTAAGAGGGATGAGGCAATAAATTCCAAACTATTCCAAGAGCTGAATGTGAGAGAATATATTTAGCGTGGGTCTCACACTGAGAAGCCATAGTGTGGATGAACACATGCACTCAAACAAATTAAAGGCGCACAAACCATATGCACAGATGCATGGGCGTATCTTAGATAGGAATGATGTCAGACGCAGAGAAACTACTTCATTGTCCGGAAGAAACTCCCTGACTGTAGATGCCTTACTTCCTCCTATGTGCACTCAATGATCTGTGTCTCCTCTTGGTGGGACTCACAATCTACTGTAATGTTGTCTGACTCACCTCCCGATGCACGGCCATTAGCAGTTTCCTGGAGAGGTTCACTCGCAGGGTCATCAAGAGAAGAGCACGGGAATTTGTCCTGAGGATTTCAGACTCCTTTGGGGCTGGTGTGGTGGGAAGCAGCAGCAAACCCGACTCTCCACACTGTGTAATGCTAACACTGCAAAATAACAATTTCAGGAGTGTTATAAGCTCAATGACTGCCCCCACACTCACTTCCAAAGGGCTGCTTTGCCATGAATGTCTGTGGATTTGCAAATCCTAGATTCAAAACTACACTTTAAGCCTGCTGCTGCCCTGTTCATGATTATCTTGCACCAATGTGGGCTCTGACTGCCTGCTTTGCCTACGAGTGATAACAGTCATGCTTCAATTGCCACTCCCTCAAAAACATAGCTCTCAGATCCTAAACCCAGGCTTGAAATAACAGAAAGATTGCCATTTTCTTTCTTAATTTTTGGGTCTTTAAATTTATGTTTGTTGCATTTTTTTTTTTTTTTTTTTTTTTT